CCTCACATTTGTCATTGGAAAGAGCCAAGAAAAAAAAGCATGGCTTTGGCCTTATGCCTGGTTTGAATCCCCGCTTTTCCACTTACCGGTTTTGTTTTGTTTTGTTTTATTTTGACATTGGAAAGATTACGTAGTCTCTCAGAGACTTGTTTTCCTCAGATAAAATGAAGGAAGATATGCTCTACAGCTCTTATAAAATGTAAATGAGATAAGGGACGTGAAGTTCTTGACACACACGAGATACCCAGTAAATACGATTTTCTCTTCCCTCATTGTCCATGAAGCCCACTATCACCGTGAAGACTAAGTGGAGAGTTCTGGGTACCTCACTCAAACCCATGAGAGCAGCCCCATCCTAAGGGGATAAAGAACCCAAGTCTCATGCTAAATGGCAAAGGAAGTTTCAAAGTGACATCCTGGGAGTATCAATGAGCGTTTGCTCTGGGTAGAAGGAGACCAGCCTTAATAGCTCCGTTTAACCACCGAAGCCTATGAATTCACTTTCAAGCATCAGCTGTAGAGACATCCGCCTTCTTGACCCTTCCCAACCTTCTCTACAGAACTCTGAGTCAGCTCAGCCACTGTGGTTTTCCTTTTGGAAGGATGGCTCTTTTCTGGTCATGGCGTCGCTTACCCTCTCCAGACATGGCCTTCATGTAGCTTTTCAGATCTGCAGTTGGAGGTGACTTGGGCTCAGGGCCGCCTGTGGTAGGTTACTGGCTTGGGAGCAGGTCCACAGTAGGAAATATACCTACTCTTTTAACAACCATTTCCCTCACAAAACTGGAATAAGCAGAGGAATTTACCTTCCTAAGACATGAGTGGTGATACAGGAAGTGAATGAATGGAGTAAAATTGTGCATTCTGATTTATTATGACTTCTGACTCACTAAGATAATTTTTCTCTGTAGTCAAATTTGTATAAAAGGGTCTTTACTTGTCCCCTACTAAAATGGATCTCAGGGTATTTCTTTGTCTACCTAAACACACCCCCACGGTGACTCAGACCTTTCCAACCCCACTGCTGTGTGGAGAGGACCAGAGGTCTGTAGAACACCAGCATCTTTACGTATTTGGATCCTCTCTCTTTCCAGTTGCCTAAGTATTTGTGTTTATGTCATAATGCCAAGCTCTGCAGTGCCTGAGGTGATGGAAATGCTGAGCATCAGTGTTTCCAGTTGCCTACATTACTCATCAGAATAGACTAACTCCCGCGGTAATATTTTCCTGGGTTATTTTGAAGATGTGCAATCAATGATAAAGCAGCTTTTTCCTTTATCTTAAAATGCTTGGCTGGGAATAGCCTTTCCAGAGGCCTTCAGGTGGGCCTGAGCCTCTAAGTCAGGGGAGGGTTCCTCTGACTAGCCCTGGGACTTCCCATCCCATCTCAATGGGGGTCTCTAGGATTACTCAGAGTTCCTGATATCTTGAAAAGCAGTTCAGGTTATAGTTTTAAAACATACTGCGTATGTTTTAAAAATAGATTCAGACTATGATTTCAATTTGCCTGTAAATGACCTTAGCAAGTGTTCCAGTAGCAACTTCTCCTTGGCATGCAGTCTCTTAGACTAAAAGAGGTACGGGGCAGTGTCATTTACCGCAAGGACAAAATTACTCGTCCTGGTGGTGGTTTTTGACCAAGAAAGCTAGCCAGACAGAAGAGATTCTTCCAGCCACTATTCCTCAGAAAGG